CGCAAAGGCGGACAAGTTAAAGTGGATAATGGACGACGCTGCTGCTGCTGCTCGCCATCACAGAAGAAAGCAAAGCAAAGTAGAGTAAAGGCAACGGCAAAAGGCAAAAGAGCGCTCCGAATGCGAATTTTGTGCGTCTCGCCTCTCCCATCATTAACATGAGGCTCGCTCAGCCGTTCTCAACTCGTGCGTACGCCGCTCATTGCTATTTTTAGACACGCGCTCTTTGTGCGAGAGCGAACGAAACAGCAACAACAATTGCTTCAAGAAAACTGAAAAAATAAAATGAAAAAAAAAGTAATAGAATCACACACACACAAATGGAGAGCGAGTCAGAGCGAGATGGTGAGAAGAAACGGGTTCACGTCAAAATGGCTGCAAGTCCCGCAATAACGTAAAGCACTACAAATCTCAAAGCACTGCGTCTGTGACCAGTGTATGTGTGTGTATGTATTTGTATATGCTTGAGTATATTTGTTATGTGTGTGAGAGAGAGTAAATTGAGCGCATAAATTGTTTTAATTGCAGTAAACAACTGCAGCAAAAGCCGAGAGCAGTGACTGAAAAAGCCGCAGCAGCACGATAAATTTTACACACACACAAACACACACACACTCAGACAAGTTGTGCGTGTGCAAAAAGAACATCAATCAAAAGCGTTGACAGCGCTGCTGACGCATAATTTGCATAAAAAACTATTTACAATAATAATTACATAAGGGCAGGCATAAGCAGCTAGCCAGAAAATTAACATAATTTTGAATGGCATATTTGAAAGCGTGTTCGGATTTGCTACCACCCATACTAACAACCACCAATACAATAACCAACAACACCTACACCCGTATAACGTTGAAAGTTTTCGCCTGTGTTAGCGTTAACAAGCCGCCGCCATTGCGTTTAACAAAGCGTGAATGTTACTTGCGGCGTGTGTGGCAACAACATTGTTGCTAAAATGATTTTGAAAAACCATCAATAACTCAAATATAATGACAGTTTTCCACTTGTTGTGTTGCCAGTCAGCCAGCCCCGTCACCCAGTCAGGCAGCCAGTCAAGCAGCCAGTCAGGCAGCCAGTCAGCCGGCCCGTAAGTGGGGCTAAATGGATGAATAACTTAAACCAGCTGCTTGTATAAGTCCCAAGTTTGTATGTGTGTATGTGTGCTGCGTGTATGTTTGTATGCGTGTTTGCGTGTGCTTCTGTGTTTGCGTGTCTGTGTGAGTAAGCATCCTTTGCGCCTGATGTGATGTTATGTAATGTAATAACGTCAATCAAATTTGAAAAAAGGCAGGCCAACTATTTGAAAATCAATTTTCATGCACCAGATCCCCCAATCCTCAAACACAAACTGAACGAATAGTAAAAATAACGGATAATACGTAAAGAGAAGATGGGGCACGGATGCGGACAGTTACTAAGTAAATATATAAGTTTTTAAGTTGTTGCCCGGAGGGTGTTCGCTTAATGTAGCAGAAGGCCATCACTAAAGTGTTACGCTCTAAGCCATGACTAGCGGTATTTGCAATATTTCCCTGCAAACAGCGTTATAAAGAAAATAACAAAATATGAAAACTGAAGCGAAAATAAAAGAGCAACAGCATTTGATGATTATTCTAAATTCTACCGTTGGAAAAGAGTCGAAAAGGTTGAGATATCAGCGATTAGAGTGAAAATGTCAAGCGGTCGGGTTGAAATATATTGCTGCATAAGCTTAAGGCGGAATTAAAAAATGCTTATTAACAGAAGGATTATGCAGTTTGAACAGTAAAGTAAAGAGGAAAAAAGCTTAATGAAAATAAATTGCGTAATGGAATTTTAATACTTGGCGAAACTTTAAGATTAATGACTGCTTAGTTGGATAGCTTTTAATATTATTCAAGTCTCATGCGAAAGGTCACTCAAGAGATAAAGTTGTTAAACTATTTTCATAAATTGTATAGAATTTTTTGATATTCAGTGAGCTGCAAGCTTTAATGAGCTTCCAAAGCTCTTTGTGGTTTCGCGACCCCGAAATTTGTAGTGAAAATGGGAATACAAAAATAAACTTCACAAGAATATTTGCTTCTTAAATACATTGTTTTACCCAAGTATTTAAAGAACTTTGAAAATATATTAGATAGGTAAAATGGATTTTTCACTTTTACACTATATGATTCAAAAGCTGTTATAAAATCTGTCAATATCATGTCATACTCAGAATAGACAGTACTTAGAAGCAGCATTCAAGCGCTCTCAAAACCATTCGCTCTTAGTGATGAATAACGCATGAAAATACTGAGAATTGCAAATAGTGCACAATTATAATAATATTTACAGCCCACTTGCACTACTGCATTCAGTCACTCCTTGTGTGCCTTTACACAATTTGATGCACTTCTTTCACATGTGGTCCACGCTTCGTAAGAATAATATGTGGCATATATCACATATACGCTTGCTCGTCGACCTCACTTGAAGAGCATTTGAGCGTCACCAAATGCTGCATTCGGATTCGGTCATGTTTTTATTGTGGTTTTCCGCCCGCTCACCAAACATCCACTTGGCCAGCCTGCCGGACTGCCTGCCGGACTGCCTGCCGGACTGCCTGGCAACCAGCATCGAGCTTCGAGCTGGGTTTGCTTTCTTGCGGTCGCGCGTGCACTCGAAAGCGGCAAGCGCTGAATTGACAAATTGATGGATGGTTCTCTCGTTGCATGTCCATGGTTATATGATGTATTATTATTATTGTGTTAGTGCCGGGAGTGGGGTGGGTGGGTTGATGGGAAAAGTTTTGCCTGCTATGTGAAAAAGTTGCCGACTCAGCGATGCGCAACGGTCACCTAAGTGTTTTATTAGCCCTCGAGTTCAAGTTTTGCCCTCTGAGTTGATTGTCAGTTGCTTTTTCGTTATATACTCAAGACGTTTTTGTTGCTTCTGATTTTTTTTCCTTTTTTTTATTATTTTTGTTCATACAATTGTTCTGTTCCTAATTTGTTGCAAATGGCTCAAAATCGGACGTAAGACGTGCTAAGCGTGCTACTAGTGGCCTTCGAAAAAAACGATGTGGATTACGATGGGCAAATAATTGCCGGAGAAATGCGATTCATCTTGCAGTCTCAATAGAATATATATATATAATATAGTAATTCTGATAATAAAGTCGTAGCTAGCAATATACATATGTATTAATACTGTCTTCAATGTAGACTATAACACTCATATTGAGAAATAAATAGATTTTTTACACAAGAACCATTCCTTCAATCGATTTTTACTTTGCCAGACATATGATATATGTAGTGAAGATCAATCTGGAAAACTTTCCTTATGGGTATATCCCCTCATCTATTTGAGCTAATCGACATATATTTTACATGGTGTAAACGATATTTCTACGATATATCAAATTTATAATGCCCTCCGCAAGGGCATACAAAATATGAGTGAACACACCAAATTTCGAGTGACACAATAAAAATTCTGATTTGCTGCATGCAAATATGAGATGGAAAAAAAAGGTTGGAAGTGCATAAAACCAGAAATTAATGCAGCAGCACGTTTCATCCATTAAGCCGCTGAGCTTTGCTTGCTGACTTTTTGCCGCCCGCTTTAGCTTTAGCTGCTCTTCTCCCTTGTGTGCAGGCAGGCAGGCAGGCAACACATGAAAAAGTGTTGTGTAAACATGTTGGAGAGAAGATGCTGCATGCAGTTTGCCACGCCCATCAATGAGCAGGAGAAATTGCTTTGTTTGTTACCCAAGCGGCATCGTAGTATCCGTTGTCCTTTGGGGCATTTTACTTTGTGGCTCATTGCCGTTGAGTGGCCTTAATATTTTCAGCTGACGTCGCCTAATGAAACTTTTCTCGCAGCAAAAGCAACAGCAACAGCAACAACAACAACAACAGCAGCCCACTTTTGTCAATTTTCTTGAATTGCTTGCTTGCTTGCTTGCTGGCCATTTGACTTGGGCGGTCTTTGAAATTAAAACGACGGGACAACGGGACGACGGGACAACTGCAATGACGACACTTGCATTTGCCCACTTATTTATGAGACCAAATAAACGAGTTCATTTAGCTAATGGTCGCATGGCCTACTGAGCTCACAAGTTGATGTACTGCAATGCACTGCTCAAGGAGCTTGGGTAAGAGAGCGAACCAGAGTAGAGTCTTGTCTTGCCACAAAAGCAGAAGGAGCAGCGTCTCGTAAGCCAGCCAGGATTTTGAATATACATATATTTAGTATACAGCATACAGCACACATTTTTCCCTCAATTTAAGCAGCTAAAGTGCCAAAGCGGAAAAGTTTTGCATACTTTTGAGTGTGCCTTGGCTCATTGTTCTGCTTTTGTCAAATGCTCTCCAAACCGAAGGTTTCTTTCCTGTATCTGTATTCGTTCTTTGTCTGTCTTTTCTGTAGCATTCTCATCTTGTTGCTGTTTTGGCAGCGGATTATTGCTCCCATATGTGTGCGTATCTAACCTCGCTCTGAGCAACAGTTTAATCAGACAGCTCGTAAATATTGAAGCCACAAAGAAGAAACAACAACAATTTATTTATTCCGCCTTAGCAGTGTCTGAATAAGGATTTGCAAAGAGAACAACAGCAATATTGCTTTTTTCTTGTGTTTTTATGATGTTTAGTTTTGAATACGTTGCGCTCTTTTATTGATTTTGAATACTAGACAGTTTCAGGCAAATTTATATCTCTTTCTGCGCAAATAAAACTAAAGCAGCTCTTAGCAAAATATTATTGACAAATTCAACAAAGAACTCTTTACAAATATTGAATTGTAAATTCAAGTTGCTTGAGCCAATTTTGCATTTTCCGTTTCGTTATTTGATTTTTAAGATTCGTTTCCAGATACAGATACTTTGGTTTCCCATAAGCAAAAATAATTTAATTCTGAAACTATCTGCAGAATCAATTTGATGTTCTTGAATTTAACATACAAACTAATGAAGTGTAGACTCGTTTCACTTGAAATAAGTATAATTGAAATATTTAATTATCGTCACTCACCTTGAAACTCCTTACGAGCTGCACTCACAGAGGTCACAATATTGGCCACATGACCGAGCACCGTGGCAAAGAGCATCAGGCCGAATAGCAATTGCAATATCACAAACACGTACTCGCCCTTGGATCGCGGCTTGGGAAGATCCCCAATGGTGGTGAGGGCCAGAGTGCACCAGTAGTAGCTCTGCAGATACTGTTTGACCACATCGGCGGACTCTGAGTCGTGGTAGACCCAGTTTCGTGAGCCAAATCCATTATTTTTGTGTATGATGTGATAGAGGCAACCATTCCAATGGAATATCACAAGCAGATAGTGTATGAGGGCCGTGGAACGAAAAAGATTTGGATAGTTTGTGTGCCGCTCGGTGCGATCCATGAATGCCCAAAAGCGATAGATCTTCACCAGACGAAAGCTGCGCAATATCGAATTGAAGCCAATCGACAGATAGAGAAAGTCCAATGGCAGCAGGCACAGGCAGTCAATGTAGAAGATCGTCGAGTTCATGTAGTGTGTGCGCAATTTGAGTGCGTCCGTTTGGAGTACCCCATCCTCAAGATAGCCGGTGCGAAAGTGGAAGAGTATGTCAATCAGATAAAGAAAATCAGACAGATAGTCTAAACAGAACCAGAATGCAATCGTTCGTCGATTGATCTCCTGGAAGGCGAAGCGGTAGATTATCACCCAGAAGTTGTACAGAAAGGCCATGGAAACCACCATTGACCAATAGTAACACAGCCGCCCCGCCGGATCAAACACAAAGTGCAGTTTGCGGGCGGCCGTTGCGGCTCGTATCCGCTGCGAGGCAGTGCGATGCGGTTTCTTATGATGCGGCTGTGCCGATTGACCAGCGCCACCATCGCCGCCATGTGGTGTCTGGTGCGGGTGTCCGCCATGTGGCGGTCCAGGTCTGCCCTGTGTGGGCTGACCATGCGCGTGCGGGTGGTGCGACACCGTTGAGGCAGAGTGCTGCAGCTGGTATGGATGGTGCGACCCCTGTCCGGCATTATGCTGTGCATGCTGCTGCGAACGCGAGCGCGGGTAGCTGTAAGTTGGAGTAATGCAAGATGATTAGAAACTAGGTTAATGAGAAGGCTGAGTTTATATTTGGAGTACCCAAATTTCTTTATAATTTAGACGAACTTTATAAGCAACAACATTTCTGAGACATGATTCCCAATTATTAATTCAACGTAATTTAAAAGTGAAGAATTACTTGACATAAACTACCATAAACAAAATATTGCGCATATCGTAACAAAATAGTATAAAAAGTAAATTACTTACCGATCGGTGCCGTTGCAGTAGTTGCCGCCGTATTGGGTGTGGCCCATGAGGACGCTGGTGGCACCACCGCCGGCCAGCGTGTTATCCTGTGAGCCGCGGCCTGTGGATCGATTCCAGGTGCCCAGCAGCGGCTGATCGCCGCCGGTGGTTTTCAGTCGGCCGCGCGATTTGTTGTTGTTGGTGCGTTGCTTGTTGTGCAGTAAATCCATTTCGGAGGCAGTGCTTACGGTGGCCATATGCGAGTTCGATGCACGAGAAGCGCATGGTGTGGCCAAACTGTCGTGCGACGTGAAGAAACCTTGTTGCGAGACGCTTTGGCCAAATTTTGGCTGGGGCATGCCAAACTTGGGGCCTAGATCTGAAAGAATGCAAATAAATCATAGTTACTTATACGCAACAACTACTCAAACTGTGTCAAAATACGCTAAGTAAATAATCAAACTTTCCCTATGACAAAAAACCTTAAAAATTCAATAATGGTATATTTACTGTTGAAACCTTAGACGATTCAATGTATAAATTAATTAACAGGGTATCGCGTTCGATCATAGTATATTGACGATTTTCCGCAATACTTGAAAAATTAAATTATAAAAAAAAGTTTGCTACAACATTTTTTAGTTTAGTCACAAGCTGATATTATCATGACAATAAAAGGGCGTAGTTTCTAAAAATACATTTACTCATTTAATAATTTGTTACAATCAAATAATTTTACTTTACTAACATTTTTGAAAAAAAAAAAAAAACATTTTCACTATTCAAAAGAGTTTAATTGCAGCCTTAGTCGAAAAAGCTTTGTTTTTTTTTTTGGGGACAAAGTATATTTTATGACAATGGACAGAGGATAAGGATACAGACAGCATGAAGCGGTATACACACACACACACACACGCACACGCACACACACATATGCATATGAACGCGCCTTACCGAGAAAGCTCTGTCGATCGATTGAGAAGCGACGCAGGCTACCCAAATCTATAAACTGCTCATCAGCTGGCATTGTTGGTGTGATTGAGAGTTCAGTTGTGTGAAAGGCATTAGCACCACCACCAGCAGCAGCACCGCTGCCACCACCACCAAGCTTGTTGTTGTTGTTGGCACCACCAGCACCACCCACTGTCAGATTGGTGCATGTTGTCGCACCGCCAGCACTGCCACCCATACCAGCACCCAAGTAAGCCGCATTGCTCGCATAGAAACTGCCATCGAGTTCGGCCATTTGCTGCTCGTATGCAGTCAGTGGATTGATCGACCTGGAGCTGTGATCCCGGTATAAAGGACGCGGCGAGGGCATCAGCGAGGGATACGATGGGTTCAGCATGCCGTTGAGTGACAGACGGGGCTGCATTATCTCCGGAAAGCTGGCTCGAGGCGCTAATCGTTGACTCGTTGTTTTTGTTTTTATTGCTGGTGTTTTATTTGTCTTGTTGGTGTTTTGATGTATTGCTATTGTTGCTGTTGTTTCCGTTGCTGTTGCTGCTGTTGCTGTTGTTGTTGTTGTTGTTGTTTTGTCATGGCCTGCATTCAACGCATTTGGTCGCCATCGTTCATCATCGTCAGCATCAGCAGCAGCGAGTTTGACGTCACAGCTTGTGTCAACGTCTACGTCAGCATCGACATCGATAGCCGCAGCGCGGCAAAGGCGGCCAGTGGGTGTGGCCTTGCTATGCTCAGGTTCAGCTTTACAAGTTTGAGTTTATCCAATTGTTTGTCGTGGTTTGTTTTAGTTGATAATTGCATTTAGTTTGTTAGTTTGTTGCATTTGCCACATTTTACATTATATTTACAGCCAAGTTTTGTTTATATTCATCGTTCAGTTTGATTGTTGTTTTTTTGAAAAGCAAAATAAATGTGAGGAGGTAGTAGTATTAATTTCAAATCGACCATTATAAACGGTTTTTGTTTTGTTTTTAATTATTTGATTTTTTTGTAAAGCGTTCTTCTGCATGACAAGGAGAGAGTTACATATATTTATATATATTATAGAGCGAGAGAGAGAGAGTTGGGCTAATAGAGAGTGACGGAGAGTGGTGGTGTAGTGGTTGGTTGGTTGGTTGGTTGGTTGGTTGTGGTTTATTTTTTTATTGGTGGCTACAGGTGCCTGGGCCTTTAACAACAACTGCAATTAACAACAACATTCAACAACAATTTACAGCAACAACAACAGCTGAACAGCTTACATATGCACATATATATATATAAATATATATATATATATATATATATTTGATAAAGCTACGACTACTGTGTTTATTTCTGCTGACTACGTAAGCTTAAAATAGGGCGCAAAAGGGATTTGTGTAAAAGCAGCAAAGGTAAATAGAATTATCTCTTAAGATTATATATATGTAGTATACGTTAAGTTTCAAATGAATATAAACTGTGAAACATTCCTTTTTTCAATAAATTGTTGCCATTTTTAAGACATTGTTTCAGAAAAATTGAGTTAACACAAAGGCAATTTGGCTGTATAGATTTAAAGTAGTAATTTAAAAATATATACAAAATTTGAAGTTTCTTTCATTTCATTGCAATATTTCAAAAAAATATGTCGAGTGCTTTTTTTCATGACTTACTTAAACAAAATTCAGAGAGAGGTGAACAATGATGGCGGTTACTTTGGTATTTAGGTGTGTCTGATGCATTCCACTTAATATTTCATGAGTATGCTTATAGTATGTATAGTATATGTATAGTATAGTATAGAGGAAAGTTCACTTTGGGGCTTTTGGCAGCATGCAACGAACATAATGTTGAAGTGGACTACGCTCACTTCACCAAATGTGCCAATATAGTTAGATTTAATTAAGTGCGCAGAACAACGAGAAATGAAGAGAAAGTGTAAGAGTGCTCTGGTCAATAGTTCCCGACTAGTAGATACCTCACATACCTATATACATTTTGCAAATAATTGTGTTCAACAGATCTCTTATAACATAGCCTATAATAGAACATTGATTTTAGATTCTGTGGTGGGGTTGGAAAGCGATATTAATCGATTTTTTACATCGATAGGAGTTCCAAAATCTACATTCCAAATCTCCCTTTGCTTATTCTTAATTTTATACACCAAAAAAGTTTAAGAAACATGCGTGTGATATGCTTATATCCATGGATACAGGGTACTGAAACCGAACACAAAAACATATAAAAGGATGCGAATACACACACAAAAATACACTCACATACAGACAGCAAAAACACATGCGAGCTGACGCTTCATTAGACTTAAGCAGCTGCCTGGCAACTGGCTCACTTGGCAATTCATGAGCTAAGACACACACACACACACACACACACACACACACACACACACTTACATACACAACCTAAGTTACGCTCACACATGCACAGAGCGCACAAGTGGCACTTGACTTGGCCGAGGGCAAGACAATGGCCAAGATGCCGTTGAGAGCTGCGTGCGGCGCCAATTTATTTGTATTACTCGAACGCTGCCAACACGATGGCTGCTAACTGCTGCTGTTGCTGTTGCTGTTACTTCTGCCAATGCTGCCAGTGTTGCTGGCATTGCCTTTTCAACTGTCAAACAGTTTGCTGGACTATGTACCTGTCTCCAGCTGTGCTGCCAATTGATTATTGGCCAACCGCTTTTAATTATTGAACTTGGCTGCGACGCTATCTTGTTTCGCCTCTAATTCAATTAGAGTGTCGCCCAAAAGCAATGCATCAATTGCGGCTGAGACTAAGCTACCGCTAAACTCATACTCCAACGCTCCGTGCCCCTTCTCGCACACCTCCGACAATCGCAAAATTGTTTAATTAATTTGCGCGGCAGACGCGGCGTATGAGCGACATGAGTTTGCACTTACAGCTTGCTCGAGTTGCGCAATAAATTCGAATTAACTTTCCTGCTCCACACACACACACACACACACCCACAGTCAGGCACATTCAAGCACACACTGACAAAGCGAGGCACACAAATCAAGTGCATTAATTTATTAACTCAGGTGCTGTACTGTACTATGTACATTTTTCATAAATATGTCACAGCATCCGATTACTTCAGGCCGTTGACCAAGTTGAGCTCTACACTTACAACAAACAATTATAGTGTCTGGCACAGTTACAGCTGCACTTGCCTGACGGCATTCTTGGCCATTCCTTGGGAAAGTGCATTTTCATGTCATGTAAACCAAATGGCGATGCAACAGAAGTTTTTGTGCTCTCAAGGAAAAGAGAGTACATCGATTTTGTGTAAACCATATGAACTGGATATTCATGACATTATAAAAGCCGCAGACTCCGCTTCAGATGTAGTCCGGATCCTTTATCTTTTATAAAATCTAAATATATTCCACATCTAAAATATATATATTTATATATTTCAAATGAAAGATCGAGGGTCTCGTTGAGGGAGTGCAGTTGAATTGAGGATCGGGCAAATTGATAAATTGGCTTATGCATATCACAGTTAAAATTAATAAACTTCTGTTAGTTTTAAATCTATATATCGCCAGTTGTTTTTATAGCTAGCTCCTTATTTTCGGTCAACACTTAACCAGGCTACGGAAAAATCTGTTTCTCTCCCAGTTATACAATTTTTCAAATCGATATTTGATTACCTTCAAGCGACAATTTTTAAGTCATTTAGAAGATTTTACTCCACCGGCTTCTCGCTCTTAGAACACTTTGAAAAGAGTACTCGTTAAATTACTTATTTTGAGCATCACACACACTCAGTTACACGTTTATGCTGCAGTTGTGTTGCCTGTTGCATATTTAAGATCGCTGTCACCGCTAATCGACCCAAAGTGTGCAACTTTTTCAAGCTCAATAACTTTAGCCTCGAATCAGCCCATCAGCCCTATCTAGCGGCGCTTCTCTTAAAGTTTCTAGACATAAACCGAGCGGCTGTTTAATTTTTGCTAATAGTTGAGTGCCATTAATTTAAACTTTGTTGTCTTTTTGCCAGTTTAAGCGCCCGGCCCAGCCCGTCCGTTGGGTGTTAAAACAGAAGTAGAAGAAGAAGATACAGAAGTAAAAAAAGATAAAAAATGAAAAGACGACGGCTTAATGGGCAAGCACTTTGTCATGGACCGCCAGCCGGAAAGCGCAACTTGCGACAAACTTGCTCTCAAAGTTCAACAAAATCGCTTGAACAGCTTCTGCGGCTGTCGAGTGGTGAGAGTGCGAGGTGGTGCTGCCATGAATTGTCAATAAATTTGCTTGCAACAAATCAGAGAAGCGACCAGTCATGATGTGCTGCTGCCCAAAAATAGGTCAAGAAAGAGAGAGAGAGATAGAGGGGGAGAGAGTGAGTGAAAAAAAATGGGGTGACAAAGGGGGCGCCACAAATATTTGGTGCAGCTGCCGCAGCAAATGAAAATATTTGAGCGTTCGCTTGTAGCCAAAAATACTTTTGCCACAAAGTTTGTGAGCAAACTTTGCTTAAAACATACTTGAACATACATTTATATATATAAATATTTAATGCGTAGTACCCATCCAAAAGAGCTGCCAACTAATAGCTGAAAGTGGCTGTTGAATCCAAAAGGACATAAAATGGAAGTCACGCAATAAAAACTTCAAGCAGCCTTCCTTCTCACCTCCTGCAGCAACCAGCAACCAGCATCCAGCAACCAACTTCAACAACCCACAATATATCTGACACATTGGAAATTACAATAGTCAAGTGTTTAGTGGAACAGCTGTCAATTGAAGTGACATTGAGGCGGGTTGCCCGCTTCAGCAAGTTCAACCAAACAAGCAGCCACATAACAATTCTCTAGAAGTCTCCTAAAAGTATTTCAAAATCGTTGACTGACATTGCTAAAAACATAACTAAGTGAACCGAGAAGGACACATGACAAAAACTTTTGCAAATTCTATGGGAGCAATAATTTAAAACCTAATCAAATTTCAACTGAAATATAAATCCACAAATGACAGCATGAAATCGAACAAATGTAAGTAAGCATAAGCGCAAAAGAAATTGAAATAAAACTTTGTTAAATGTTATCTTTGAAAATGTATAATAAAAGGCAATAATGACATAAAGTTAAAATATGGGTTCTCGGGCTATAACGGCTCGAATATTCAACTGGAATATAAACGTTGTATTTTATTGAGCTATTTTGCTATTCATCTTTTGTTCTGTTTTCTTAGAAAACCTTTAAATGTGTCTCAATTTCCATTTTAAAGGGCTTTAAGAAGTTTTTAAGCGCGAGCTGATCCAACATGATTAGACATTTGACTCATTGCTAGATTTTACAATTTTAATTACTTTTTATAACCAAAAGCCAAAAACCAATAAGAAGCGCAGCTCATAAAATTGTCTGTACTAAATTTAATAAAGAGAAAAATGTTCAAACAATTGCTCTATGATTCAATTGTATTTGGAATTTCAAAAAGAGAAATTTAATCCGGCGTGTGTTTACCGTATTTTGTGAATGCCGAAAAATGAAGAAAGTGTTCCACTATTAAACATATTACCGCCGCCATTGACACTTTCTTTGTCGGGGAATATGAATTGTTTTTTTCTCATTTTCTCTGTGCACTCAAAACACGGTTGTCGCCTGAAATGAACTATAGAAATTGTTTTAATGCAGTCTTGGCTGTGCTGTTAATACACGTGCTACTAAAATCCACAACGATGGCAGATAATAGACGCCTAAAACTTAGGAAACGTTTAGCATCGCCGATTAAAAATGAGCTCACAGATGAGCTGGGCAAATATGTGGTCTCCATACGTTCTCGCAGACCACAGATTATATTTGGTGATAATCATTACTGTGGGGGTGCGATAATAGCGCCACGATACGTGCTCACCGCTGCCAAGTGTTCAATGAAGTGGGTAGAATTCAGATTTTGTAACATTTTTCTAATAATAAATAACTTGTCCAAAGCAAATACAAAGTTATGCATCCGATACGATCGATTGTAGTCGTTGGTGGCACAGCTAATCGTCTGAAAGAAGTGGATACTACGGTGACCAATGCTGTTAAGAAAATATTTGTGCCCGATAATTTTACACTGTATAGCAAAAACAATATTGCGATACTGCTACTGGAGGCAGCATGGCCAACGGATAATCCGAGAATCGATATTATAAAATTGCCCGATGTAGCGCCTAACTATAACGACATATATATGGTGCTAGGCTGGGGGCGTATGTATAAGGTGAGTTACCTAAAGCTCTTCAATCCTTAACCACTGAATCTCCAACCATAGGGTGGTCCACTTGCTGCCAATCTGGTGCATATAGATGTCAAGTTGCTTGATCGCAAAACTTGCCTAATCATGTTGAAGGGTCTTTATCCCGAAATGCTCTGTGCCGGAAATTTTCACGACGAACTTGACAGTAATCCCTGTGCAGGCGACACAGGTGATCCAATGATCAGAAATAATACGCTGATTGGCATCGTTTCTCATCGCGTGGGCTGTGGCACTAGCGAAATGCCATCGATTTACACTGACGTGTGGTATCATACAAATTGGATCAAGGATACAATGCAAAACATGGCTCATCCTTTCGATGCAAAGTTTTTGAATCTCTTATTGGTCGCATTAATTGCGCTGTTGGCTTAAAAAGTCCAATAAACAAAAAAAAATCGAGGTGCGATTAAACATTTGAGTTTTTAATTACTTAAAACCGGATAGAGTAGTGCATTAAACGGGCAGTAAATAGCCGAAGCCATAGCACAATTTTCTTGAGCATTCTCTGTACTAACAGAAAAAAAGTATAATAGTCTTATTTCTGCTATTTAAATTTGCAACTTGTTTTTAAACTAGGACTAAGGATAACTAAGGATTCATCAATGTGTTTTCCTTTTCAAAATGTGGACCAAACCTACAAATGTAAGCTGCATCCATTTAAAATAAGTGGCCTTCAGACAACCGGACAACCGACCCTTTTTGTGGTGATGCATTGTCTGTTCCACATGATTGTAAGTGAAATTTGTTCATAAATATGGATCATAAATAATAATAGATTTCCCGATAGTGATATATACTGAATTGACTGATAAATAATAGCCAGTTAGTTGTGGTGATGCAATACAGTAATAATTTAACGATATGAATAGTAAATTTAACTTCAGCTTCAACTTGAGGAGAAGTTACTGCTGGCTGACTGGGACGCCAATTTGGATGCTCTTCTTCAATGCTTCAACCACTCAATGGTTTTTGTGGCTCAACGTCCTCTCAATGTGAATTCGGCAATTCGCCTATGCGTGTGCGTCTATCAACTGTGTCATGAAGGGATTGAAGTGACATCATCTGAATCGTGGCACGCTTTGGTCTGTTTCGCAATTGCAACAGCACGTGCTTGTGGGCGCTGAGATGTTGTCTTTGCGCACGTTGATTGTCAAGCGCAGCAATATTGGGGCAGCAATATTGGGGCACAAATCAAATCAAGAATTGCTCCAGCCAGGGTAGTTCAGCTAGCTGCCAATTCGCCCACAAAAACAACCACAAGTCTAGTCTGGCGACTACCTTCTGTCTGTTACCTGCCAGCTACCACCTGCCACTTGTGTCGATTGGTTTTCGTTCCTTTCGCGTACACAAAACGTTGTTGGATGCTGTTGCTTCTGATGCTGCTGGTGTTGACCTTGCAGCATGGTAGACTGGCCAAATGGCCGACAGACTGTGTTGGCTATCCGTGTGCTTAATTACCACAAACTCAGTGTAGCGTTGTGGCGAGCACTTTAATTGGCGCGCCCCCGCCGTCCTCCCCAAAAAAAAAGGGAAAGCAATAAAGAACTCAAATATAGATTTAGCAGCAGCTGCCATGCAACAAAAGTGGCAGCTTCAGCCTTAGCTCTCTTACGGCAGTACTTAAACATTTGCTAGCCTCAAGCAAATGGCCGTCAAAGTGAATAGTATCTTCAAATAACTTGAACCGAGTAGGTAAAAGATAAAAGATACATGCCACAAATAGTTCCGCTGTCAGCTTAATAGAGTCTCCATTTAACGTTGGCTAAGATATAATCTCAAGCTTCAGTGTACTTTGGGGGATGCTTCCAAGTTCATCACACAAATATGTATATATTGTATGTATATATATATATATATACCATATATTTTACATTTAAGATATAGTTAAAGAGTTAGTATAATTGCTATACTATTTTAAGATCACATTACTACTAATTTAAGGGTATATTCAAAGCAGTACATTATCTACAATTAGTTCACAATTCTGAGCAAATATGGCCAAAAACCCTTTTTGATCTTCGGCAATCGATCAATTAAAGGTTAATGTATATAAAGACATAGTTTGTCTTGAATGAATTTGAGATAAGTAGAACCTGTAATAGGTGTGATGTCCTCAGTATCAATATATAATTGAGTATTATTATTATAAAAATAGATTATACACTACCTATATACGAAATATATATCTTTAAACCAATACAATTGTAATTATTCTGGTATAATATTCAAACTTAATGCTCTTAACTCACAGATGTCAGCGAGTTGACCAATTTAAATGAAGCACATATTTGGCAACTGTTTATATTTATTTTATTGAATAGAAGTAAAGAAATTAAATATAGAAAAATATATGCTATTTATTTACCTATATTTTAATCAAACGCTTTGATAATGTTAAATTATATATTTGAGAACTGAACAAGAACCCCGACTGACCTGACTGCCATGAGCTTAGCAGACCTCATTAGACTGCCAGAATTTCACAATTGAAATCTGTCTATCTATCTATCAATTTAAATGCAATTGCGTAATGATTTGCAATCAGCATTAAGTAGAAATTGAGTTCGAATTGAGGCGACTTGAGTCGGTGTCATATCCGATATGAACTCATGAACCCACACGCTGATAAATACAAATTTCTATAGCTACCGCTGCGCATATGTCAGAACATGGACAATAGACGGCACCTGTGCTCCATTTATTTAATGAATTTCGTTGCTGGTACTGCTGCTTCTCCTTTTGCTATTCGACACTGTTGAAGAGCTGCTGCCGTAGGCAAATGTGTAATGACAACATTAATGCAAATGACTTCATTTAATTAAACGCCTGCGAAGGCAATGCGAAACACACGGAGGTGGAGACGGAGACGAAGAGAAAGAGAAAGAGAGAGAGAAAGAGACAGAGACAGAGACAGAGATAGCGAAAGGAATCCCAAAAAGGACAGCGGAAAGCATCCTTGTCATAGTCATCATTGAGGCAGATAACAGCAGATAGCTGGAAGATATCGCAGCACTCATACGCCTTTGTACGCATGAATGCGTATTAAGGTGCACACCATTGGGAAATGCTGAATTGGGCATTCACTTTGTGTGTGTGTGTAGGTGTGTGTAGGTGTGTGTAGGTGTGTGTGTGTAGGTGTGTGTAGGTGTGTGTGTGTATGAGCGAATATGCGACAAGTGGGCGTGGCAATCGGCTGTTGCTGATGATTTTTTAGCTGTTGTTGTTGTGCGCACGTGCGTGTAAATACATTTATATATATGCGACAGGTGTACACAGATGTGTCAAAAATCCCCAGTCCTGTGGTAGCCAATTCAATTAGCAGACGTTTCAGCAGAACCCAAGCCAACAGTAGACTATATTAAAATATATACAGATATTTAAATGTATATATAGGTGTGTGTACTTTTATATTGACCAAATGGCCAAGCTTTGCCTTAATGTTAGCCATAAGACTTTTCATTAGCCATAAGACTTTTCATTAGAAGGCCTTTCATTATATATTTTTAATAACTTTGGCAATGTGCGTTCGTCTTTGGGCATATATTTTCGTGGAATTTAAATTAAATTTGACTAGCTAACATACAATTCAAATATTTTTGCAGACTTTAACTTCTCCTGTAGACTTTTGTCAAAGAACGAATATGAATCATTTAACTGCAACAGCTCAGTATTCAATTACTTATGCACTTTTAGAAAGGAATTGAGAGGCATTTATTCTATGTGACTCGAATGCATTTTAAGCGTATCACTATATCCTACATCTTATATATCTTATCTTATTTAATAACTCTTGAAATGGTTGTATAACAAACTCTTTAATTTGAATAAAAATTTCAACAGAATGTAATAATCTATTATTTAGTACTAGATAATTTGTCCATTAATGCAACTGCAATTTAAACCAATCCCGTTTCTATTATTATTATTATTATTTTATTTTATTATTACGCATGACATTTGAAGTGAGACTGAGCCAAGGCTTATTTATAATATACTGCAATTCAATTCAAATGAATATTTAATTTCATTTTAAGCTTTACAACCATATGTTCGAAAATGTAATGAAATTTGAACTGACTTCCACTACAACAGTTTCGCCACTTACTTATTTAAAAATGTCAAGATATGCGGTGGCTGCTGCACATGCCACGCTCAACAAGATTTCAATGCGCTAAATTCATATTAAATTTTTCAACAAATTCAGCGTGTTTAAGTGACTGCGCTCATTAGCAACAGCAGCATCAACAGCAGAATAGGCTGAGTGTGCGAGGGGATCACTGAGTTCGTGTTAAAGCCCAGCATTCACATGCAGCATCCCAAAAGAGGAAATAAAAACACAAGTGCTGGTAAAAGGACCAAACTGTTCATTTGCATGCGCTGGCGCTCATTACATTTGCATTAAACTTTTAATATGCGTGGACATGTGAAATAGTGTGTGTGTGTGTGTGTGTGTGTGTGTGTGTGTGTGAAGAGTGTGTTTAAATATATATATATATATGTGTGTGTGTGTGTGTATGCCGTACGGGCGTCCTATGCAGACTGCAGTTGACTGACAGGAATGGGCAACCAGTGCAGACAGCAGCCAGAATGTAAGGCGCATGTGGCATATGAACTTGCAACGCCCGCAGCGTCTAACCAGGCTATTTCTTAATTTACCCAGAAATATGAAGTTAATTACATTTGACCAGCTACGAATTGCGGGTCAAATCACACCCACATACACATACATTCGCATTTTTCGTTAGTCATTAAGGACTCAGCAACTGGAAACTATTCTTCCGGTCAGCGCTGATGAGGTAGTTGCTCTTGGCACATGAATGTCAGTTGAGCACGCATTCTCCTAATAGGGTGTCTCTGTATTGGGGATCGCATAAGTGTTATGTGTATGCCAATACACTTCAAAATACTTTGCGCTATTTCTCCCTAAGAAAAACATTTTGTGGAATTACAAAAATTAGAAATGCAATTTGCGAGTGGATATCATCAGAAACCTTCGTCGTTTACAAACACACTTTTTACTTTTATACATCAATCAATTTTTGATTTCCATCTGGTCAGTTAGTAATGCGAAAATCGGGACTTAGAAATCACTTAGCAAATATTTTTCCAAGTGTACATGAAGTAGCCGTTGCTCAGGCATTTGACACTATAAAGCTGCATGCATGCTTGAGGTATAGCTGACAATATGTGTGTGGGTGTGTGTGTGTGTGTGTGTGTGTGTGTATGGTGTGTATGCGTTTGTCAAGTGTAAGTGCATTTCGTTATGAGCTTAGCAGTCTTATAAATGTTTGCGTATTTGTTTGCCAGCGTTATTTGCCCCCAAGTTCAGTCGCCGTTTGCTATTTACTTGATGTTTTCTCTCGCTGAGCTTGCTGTATGTGTATGTACATGTACATGTAC